AATCCCCCCGCCTCGCATCCTCATGGCCTCGCCATTTCTCGGAGATTTCGAAATTTCGTCGAGAACGGAAGCCACAAAGGGTGTGCACACAAAAGGAAGATTAATCATTGAATGTTGAGTATTTGAATAGCGTTTTGTGTAAACTAATTCATGCATGATCGGCCAGGTGTGTGTGTGTGTGTGTGTGTGTGTGTGTGTGTGTGTGTGTGTGTGTCGGTGAGGATATATACATATATATATATATATATACATATATATATATATATATATATATGGGAATTTTGCATACATTTTATCGGCTTAATTTGATTTGACTCTTTGACTTTACCAAGAATGCAACAATGCGTAATACGGCCCTAAATAGCATTTTGAAATGTGAAAACAATGAGGGCATCTACAATGAGCTTAGCACCTCTGCTGGCATTCTAGAATGACATATTCTTACCTGATGGATATTCTGTAGAATGTCAGACATAGCACTGCCACCATATATCAACTGGCTGTGCCAAAGGGACATTTGGGCCTTTCCAAATCAAACAGGGAACTGTTTACACTGTCTTTTACAATACACTTTTGTAACATAGATACATCTAACTTCAAAGTGTCGACACAATGTGTTCAAGTGGGTTGAACATGACACAATGAGCCAGAGACGCAGTGATGAGTACAGTGCTGACCCTTTTGGACGAAAGAATCTGCCGTGTTTTGGAAAGGACAACAGCAGCTTGCAGGTGCGTGTAAAGATGACTCAACGTGTGCCATGCTGTAGAACAGGGGTGCCCAAACGTTTTGGACCGAAGATCGACTTTTCGATCAACCAACCTCCCGCGCACGCATATACACACGCACGCCATGATGAGCAACAGCCTGATACGGAGGCATGCGACGCACTTTTGCAGCCTGTTCACTGTTGTAGCTCACTAGTACCGTTTTAAAGTGCTTCCCTCTGCCCTCTCGATTCCTATTCTTTGCCCGTGCCCTCGATGAATTGTACACGAAACAAATTCTGAATGAGAATAATGATCACGATGAAAGATATAGCGCAACACCTCTGATCACAAGCTGTAATTGCAGACTGCTGAGCACTAACAACTTCCAGTGACGTAGGTCACGTGCCACCGTAGGTTAAAGATTTACCTGCTTTATTTTATTTTTTTATACTTTTTGTGAAAATGAGACTGATAGGATGATTAGGGTGCAGTGTACATTAACACAAAAAATATATTACTAACATGCACAAAGACCCACAAATGGTTGTTTGTTTGTTTTTCTCCTCTACACCCCTTGCGATCTAACTTGGGACGAGTCTGCGATCTACCGGTCGATCGAGATCGAAGTAATGGGCACCCCTGCTCTAGAACGTAGCAACAATGTCAAAGTGGTTGTGATCATTCCATTTTTGCTTGCATTGTTCTGACTTTTGATTGTGGCATTCTTATTCTTTTACAATCCCTGACAGGGATGCCAGACTGATTGATTCACAAAGTAGCCGATAAACACACCTTGACAACCACACGGACAGACACACACACTTTCACTCTCTCCATTGTCTGGATGCCAAGCTGATGTGTAACCCCCCTCCTCTCAGCCTTCCATCACTGTAAATTTAGCAACAGAAGCTTCTCAGCTGCTCCTTTCCAAAA